ACATCAAACCACAATGGTTTACTCTAAACCATTTTGGTCTTCAAGGTTATTAAACATTTTTTCCCCTTTAAAATTCCAAAAATAGGAACTAAATTATTGGGCTTGATAATTTTAGAATCTTAAATAAAATTCCCATAACTTCAAAGTTTGTGATATATGATGCATGTGTGGTAGTGCTTCTTCATATAAAGGAAATTCTGTGATGAAATTTGAAAATTTCACAAAACTTAGTGAATGGAGGTATTGGTCTTATAGGATGGTGGTTGTCTACATGACCAGGCATTAACAAGGGATAAGAGGAAACATGACATAGAATTTGATGCTTATTAGACTTTAAGACCAGTTATCATTTAGGTCAATTTCAGAGACCAAAATTACCACATTGGTTTTCGATCACACACTCAATGGTGTAAAATCAATTATTCTCTAGATCATAATATCTAATCTAACTTCTAGTGTAAAGGGGTTAGAAAAAGTATAAGGATAAATAGTAAAATTGGTTCTCCAAAGTGTGAGACATGATGAATTTAGTCTTATAAGAAAAATAAAAATAAATTAAACTTTACTTAATTTCAAAATTTAAAAATATGTGTAACTTAAGTGATAATATATATTAATTTATTTTTAAAGAGTAAAGTAATAAGAAGTAATTATATTTAAAAACTGAGATGATTTTAGGTTATTTGGTATAAAAACAAAACAGAAGAGAAATTCATTTCCTCCTATATGTAGAAAGTAAAAGACATAAATATAACTGATAAAAAAAAACATCAAAATGAGAACAGTTTTAGTCTATTTGACTACACAATATCAGTTTTCTCTTGCCTCTTTCCACCCAAGATTAAAAAGGATTGGCAACATGTTGGATCCCACTTGCCTTTTGACATTCTTTCCCTCTTCAAGTTAAAACAAATAATGGAAAGATTTCATCTTTGCATTCTTTTCTAGTCATCCACAATTTTTTACTGTGTTTTTCTATTCAGAACTGAGCTAGACAATTTTTGCTGGGGTGACTAAATAAATATTATTAAAAACTTATTTATCTTTTCTTATAAAAATATTATGTGTTGGATAATAATTAGTTTATGAATTTAGAATTTGAATCATAATTATGTAATGAGACGAATCCACTTACATTAAAGATTTATTTTTATTTTTACTATATTCAATCAAATTATGAATGATTACCCAGATAATATTTAACATACCTAATATGTTAGTGCTCATTAATTTCTTTCCTTATTGATTTATCTAATACCTTGTTAATTAACTGTTTATCTTTATTTCCCTTATGTATGGGTTAAAATATCGTAATACTTTGCTTTAAAGGAAACTTCATATTCTTTTACTTTCGGATTTTTTGAACTGAAACAATTAATTCTGAACTTCTGGTGCAGTGCCCTTCCAATTATTATGAAATTGATGTGGCTGAATTATTTAGGAGGGGAATATTCTGGTACGATTCTCTTTTGTCATTGTAGGCAGTTCTGAAAGACCTTGGATGGTTGCACAAGTGTGTGAATGAGATTCCAGAATTTAATGACACTGTGGCTGTGTAGGGGCTGGAATGGAAGTCTAGTTGAAGATATTTTAAGAGAAAACATGATAAGTCATAAAAAGATTCAATTGGTTGAATGCATGAACAGATGGGAATGAATTGAGTTGGGTGAGTTTAACCAAAAATAATAAAAAATAGAGTAATGTTTAACATCCCATGTCAAAATATCTAACTATTTATATATATTCTGTAATAAACCTCGGATATACTTGCATGATATAATTGGATGGTATTGGTATGCGTTTTATGTCATCCACCTAGTTCAATTATTTGAAGCACTGAGTGTTGTGACAATGGTTACTTTGATGCGTAGTGGGCCATTTTAACCGGAGTTAGACTAGGATTGAGCCTAAGCCAACATTCTTGGTGTGAATAAGTTATTTGCAAAACTTCAAGAAGATGGAAGCATTGTTCATACTTTGATCTGATACAGAATGCATTGATGATACAAACAATAGGTTAAGTGTCCCTTTAGGGGCATTTTGGAGCACATGGGGAGGCCTAGTTAGAGCTCCTATATACTCACCCTGCCCCTCAAAACTGTACCATTCTTATCACTTTCCACGAATCCATGTCCTGAGATGACATTGAGGTACCTTTCATGACCTGATCTGTTGAAACCTATACAAGTATGACACCTTCTAGGTCTGAATATACGATGTTCTAGTTTCCTAATTGTCCGGAATATGTCTTGACTTTGATTTGTGTTGTGCTGACACAAACTAAGCAAAGGAAGTGGAAGAAAACCATGTAGCAATCTTATAGATAAAAAGAAATTAATGCAATGCTTCATGCCTACTCTACCACTCTTGATTCAAATCCTACATTTACCAAGTGACATATGGCTCACGTCATTTTGTGCAAGTGACCATGTTTGACATAATGTTTTTCTTTCAGTAAAATTCAATTATTCTATGGTGGGATGTTGACAAGTTCCTTTTGCTTCTCTTTTTGTGATTCCTGAGGCCACATTCTTCTCATCTTCTTTCACTGCTTTTGGATTTGTGAGATCTTCCTTGATGGGTCCATTAAAAGAGTAATAATTGATGAAGCAACTTTGCTTAAATGACTTTTGATTCACCGGACCTTCTCCTACTGATCTAATAAAAATACCGGGGTCCCTTTGGATTTAGCATCATCATGGAATCTCCTTTACCTGTTGTGGAATATATTAAAGCAGGAAAGGAGCCTCAAGTACACCACCTGTTAAAGATTAAGCTCTTGCAATTACTCTCCCTCTTTTTTCCTTTCCTTTCAAACGTTTGGTCCACACACCACAAATACGTGTCATCAATAATAATATTCCTTTCTTCCAATGTGAGCTAAGCTTGCCACTAAGGTACTACTGAGTTGAATGTATTTCCAGACATACACAAGCAGCATATGCTTACATAGGAAGAACCTACCCTTCCCCCTCTTAGTGTTGCAGGACCCACCAACACCATCCTTGTACTCTACACTACTACTATTTGTTGTAAACTTATCTGAATTGGTAACTACTGCTTAGTGGATTTTTGAGTTTTTTACACCAGATATTGTTTGTCTTACATTCCACTAGCAGTTGAATTGTGGCAAGTCAACTAATCAGGTAGTGCATGTATGTGGAAGTGTTGCTCCTCCAATGGATATCTTAAAAGTAAATTGGGGACGATTTTCCTCAGTTTTGAATCATGGTACACTGTTGAGAAATTCAGGGGATTTCATGGTACTATAATGGAAGTGTTTTGAAGGCCAAATAATTGCTTTGTGATTACAGAGATCAAACTCTGAACGCCACCCCAAGAAAAATGTGAAGAGTGGCTTGCTTGAAATTGACTTTTACAATTTGTTGTTGGCCATTATAAACCCTCCCTTTACCCTTTTCTTTTTCCCTTTTATTTTTGGTGAAAACTTCTTTTATTCTCTTCAGCTTGGATATATATCACAGCATTAAAGCATGCATTCCCTTTAGAATAATTTCTTTATGGGGCTTCTATGATGAGTGAGATCTGTAGATAGCTGCATGATAATAATTCATATTACAAAGAAAAGTGAACTGCACGGCCACACAGTGTGTATATGTTCTGTCCATCTCCTTCTGACTCTAATAATTTTTACTAACTTCCATTAGTTAACTTGTTGCCTTGCAGCTCAACAGCAATATGCAGAGGAACTTCTAAGTACAGCCCAATTGGAATAGAAAACTTCATTCTATTAATTTATTTATCATTATTTTTTGTGTGTTTTATAGACGCTTATATTATGCATGTTGTGTTAAGGTTGAATTCCTTGATGGAATACAGCTTTACAATCAATGATGGATTTATATATACATGACCCTACAGATTGATTTAGTGCATAGTTATGTCATGACAAGCACTGAACTGTGGTGATGGTCCCTTAATGAACTTGGGGGTTGCGATTCCTTTGCAAGGATAATGTAACAAATTAATTGCTACCTGTTAAGTGTCTTGAACAAACAAGTATTTTATTGGTTTCATTTTCGTAGTAGCTGCATCTTAATCTTTGAACATGCCTGATTAGTTCTCTTTCTTCTACATTACTTTCTTTGTACAAACATGGGGACTCTGGGTCCAAAAATCCAATCCTAGATTCTTTGATTCCTCCATCCCTACATGGAACAAAAAGAATCTGCCAATGGCACCACAAACAAACACTACAAGAAAGAAAATCATAATTAGAGTATTTGACTCCACTTCTTTTTTATTTTAAAATATAAGTTTGGAATAATATATTTAAATATAAAGTTAAGTTTTCTCCATAACTTGATCATTTGCAAAGCTTGAAGCTATTTTTACTACACAGAAAAAACAACTGTCAGAAAATCTCCTTTTGAAAATGAAATTTAATCCGTTCAGTTTTCACTTTGGATCGCAAGATGAAAATATCCTTGACTAGTTAACAGCATGCCCGTGATTTTTATTTTTCCCTAAAGTTTTTCACAGCATTAGGAAAGTAGTACCATATTATTCATTATGGTGGGCCTACCTAATTCAGTAGGGAATCAACCATAGAGATAGATAGTGAAGTGGGAAAACAGCAAGATAAAAACAAACCACACACTTTCCCTCTTTTCTCTCCTTTTAAGACTCAAAATTGAGTTGTTTTGCTTTCCCTGTTTTTGCTGCATCAGAGATTCTCTCCACCCCCTTCAAGTCAAAGAAGAAAGAATAGAGGGAATTTTTTTTAAAAAAAGAAAAGGAAAAGTTGTTATGAAATGGGATGAGAGAGGAAGAACCACATCTCATGGCATATATTCCCCCAACATAACCCCACTTATGTTTCCTGATATGGAGTGAGATCATAGCACAACACAACCAACGCCAAGTTATAAAGAGAACTATAGCTGGCACAATTGATGCATAGCTAAAAGGATCAAAAGACATTTCTATTTTTCAGTCCTTTGCCAGTAAGTAAGTAGTAAGTCATCCATAAATAGCAAATGGATCTTCAAAACATGCAAAATCAAAGCATGCATTTTGTGTTGTCCACTGATGCCAAACCAAGGCTAAAATGGACTCCTGAGCTTCACCAACGGTTCATTGAGGCGACCAATCAGCTTGGAGGTGCAGATAGTGAGTATAACACAAACTTGATGACACCTTACTATTTATATTACTATCATTAGATTTTATAGTACATCTTAGCTGATGTTATTTTTCACTCTGCGGCATCATGTGGCAGAAGCAACACCAAAGAGCCTTATGAGGGTGATGGGGATTCCAGGACTTACTCTGTACCACCTGAAGAGCCACTTACAGGCATTCATTCTCCTTTTGTAATGATAATATAATTCTTTGTTTTTCATTCACTGAATCTGGAAATCAGGAGTTGTGACATTTTTTGTGTTTCTGATTACAGAAATATAGACTTGGGAAAAGCCAACAACTCGAGACCAGCTCTCACAGCAAACAAGAAGGTGACTTGTAGTGTGTCTACTTCAACAGCAAATAGCATGATTGATAATTATCTCACTTGGCGTAATATCTCCTTTTGGTGCAGATTACATAGAAACCAAGAGCAGTGACGGCCATTGCAGCAGGGAAATCAGTCTTGGGGCCCAGAATCAAATTACTGAGTAATAATTTGAAATTGATCAAAAAAAAATTTTTTTTTAAAGGCTTTGTGTCTCGTGGAAATAGTATTTCCTAGAGAATTTATTCATCAAGTTCTGTGTTTGTTTACCAGAAACATGCAGATAGCTAAGGCACTCCAAATGCAAATGGAAGTACAAAGGAAACTTTATGAACAAATTGAGGTAGAACATTAGATATGATTATGAATTTAAACTTGCTCTTATCAAGGCTTTTTAATCGTGGTCATGATCTCAGTTCTGTCACGTTCCTTGATATTGCAAGAATTTGCAAAGAAAAATGCGATTAATGCAGTCACAATTGCAATCACAGTGTGATCATACATACTAAAAAAACTTTGATGTTGCAGCTGAAATGGCGATTGCAGAGCACTTTTAAAACCCATGCTCTCAGTTCAATTCTGAATGGTGATGAAAAAGGACATGTTAATCAATTTCAATGGTGATGGTGATTTCAGGTGCAGAAACATTTGCAGCTCAGAATTGAAGCACAAGGGAAGTATTTGCAATCAGTGTTGAAGAAAGCACAGGAAGCGCTTGCTGGATACAACTCTGCCCCAGTGGGGATAGAACTCACAAAAGCTGAACTTTCTCAGCTAGTTACCATCATCAACAATGCTTGCCCAAGTTCTCCCATCTCAGAACTGACAGAGACAAGAGGGTTGAGTTTAAGCTGTGGGGAGAGGAAAAGAGACAGAGGTACCATGTGTTCACTGGAAAGTTCCTTGACATCTTCTGAAAGCTCTAGTAGAAAGGAAGAGAAACAGCCAATGGAAGAGATAGGGGAGTTCAAAAGCTCCAATAATGCTTCACTTGAATTGCCATTGATGGACATTCACACCGAGAATAAAGCATCCAATGGAGGCTCAAGTAGTGAGACTAGTGGGAGAAAGAGAAGTGCAGCAACACAATCTAATGATGGTAGCTGTGTTGTTGAGCAACCATATGGGAAAAGAAGTGGCAACAAGTTGAGGAAACCCAAGTTGTCAGAAATGCTCGACTTGAACAGCCAATGCCAGAGTGACATGGACTCAACACGTTCAAAAACATTAGACTTAAATTGCAGCTTAAATTTTTGGGAACCATGAAGATGGTTTTTACATACTCCCTAATATATTATATGAACGTATGCAGCAAAATCATTGTTATAAAACAAATCTGTTGATATAGTATGTATATTTTTATTATTATAATGAAAAGAAAGAACAATTGACTGTATAACCGGGTCAAGAAAAAAAGGTATAACACATATGATCATATGGTGTGGTTTGGCACATCTCTCCAACCAGTAACCCCCCTCTCTCTTTTCCCATCTCTTGGTGCTGCTGATATTGGGCCACAGGATAACAAATTTCTGCTGTTACAAGTTGGTAATGGGTACCCACTGGTTTGGTTTAATCATTAGCCTTCTAAAGGCCCTACCAAAATGAGTTGGTAACGTCTAACACAGATCATTATTATTCCAATTCGAACCCATTTTTACTTCCAAGTAACTTGTTGTGTTAGGCAGTCATATTAAAGGGAAGAAAGAAACTTATGACCTATAATGACATATAATAAGCATTAAGTTGTCGGCAAAAGGAAAAAAAATGAAGGAATGGATGAATGATGAGTCAAAGAACATGCGCAGTTGAAAAATAGAATTGATTTGATGAGGCAACCTTGTAATTTGAGTGTTTCATTTTGGTAAATCAAATGATGTCCTTCCTATGCATTATCCATATCAAGTTTGAATGTGGAACTTAGCACAAGAAATTTGCAAATTTGGGTTCTCTTTGCCTTCAACCTCCTGCTAAACCATTTTCATCTTCTATATAAATTGTATATTTATTATTTTGATCACTGGCTGAATGGGAATGGGTTCATTTATGTGGAGATATAAAATTGTATATTTCATTTTACACATAATTAATCTCACTTTTATAATAAAAATGTATCAAGAATATGTTTGGATAAACTTCTTAACTAATATTTAAAATTTAATCAATTAATAATGCATGTTTAAATAAAACCTCTCATGGGTTGTTAATATATATATATATTCATTTGTATGATGTTATGTCAATTTTACTATTATAAACTTATCACCTTATTTACTCAAATTTATTGACTCTAAACAAATTCTTAAACTAGCCTCAACTAAAGCACATTTCTAAAAAGAAACATATAATTAAAAGAAATAGTTATCATTTGTTAAATTAGCCATAGGACCACAATAAAGATTGAAGAGCAACATATGATGTGAAATTATTGAGTTACTCTCAAATAATTAATACAATAATTACTTTTTTAGACACATAGTGAATAGAGCATACTTTCCATCTTTTTAAAAAATAAATATTTATTTTGTTGGTTTCTAATGATTAGCTCTAAGGAATCCAAGATTGTGTATTTATATGGATTAAGAACATTTATTAGAATACTCTTTCACCCACTTTTTGAGCCATTTATGCATGAATCACATCAGAAAGAGAAAAACAATTAGATCCAATTAAACACCAAAATTACCTTCATAGCGTAAATCTAATTGTCTAATATTTGCTTGCAATGTGTAATGTTTATTTGTTAATTTTTATGTGGAACTTTTATCACATCATATTATACTTTAGTAACGGCTATTTCGAGCCACGCTTTTCGATTCACCAAAAGGAAAAAAGCAAACTTGTTTTCAGTACAAAAATCATTTCAAATATGGATGAAGTTTTATGGCCACCCAAAATATTAATTTACATCTAAAAAAATAAAAGATAATTTATATTCATGATAGATATAATGTGATGAGAAAAGAGATACGAAAAAAAGAGAGTAATTAACAGATCTAAATATAGAAAAAAGGTACAATACACAAATATTACTAACACGATTTCTAAAACTGTATTTTCTAATTTATTTTTTACTGGTTAAACTTTAAGTGAGCTTATTAATTTAGAAATGGGGTCCATCAAATAAAAAATGAAACTTATATATACCTCAATTGAACATGACCTATGATAAGGGTTAGAGTAAAGAAAACAAAGGAAGTTTTTCAACAAGTATTATTGGTTGACCAAATTGTGTTTTGGATTAATCAATTAATGGGCTTTAGTTTGATTTTGTTTTAAGTTGTAATAAGGGCCCAATTGAAAATTTAGTCATCAGTCTTTGGGAGATCAAGGGGTGCATAGCTAATTGACTTTTGGTTGCCATAGTTTCAGATACAATCAGTCATTAAGTAGTTTCAATTCCTAGGTTAATGGATCATTATTAGCCTTTATTTGTTTCCATTAAATAATTTTCAATTCATAGATTAATGAGTTATTATTAGTATTTATTTTCTTTTATTGAGTCTTTTGTAATTCTGACGGCAACGCTTCTATATCAGCTGAACCATTCTTATCAAGAAATAACAAGTGAAATTTTATTCAGAAATATTAGAGTTTATCTCTTTTATCTTAGTGAAAGTGATTCTCCTAAATTCTTGAGTGATTCAAGAACCATTGGCTGTATCAAAGGACTGTCACATCCTTTGTGTGTTGCCTCCCTTGGGAAGAGTGATTCTTTCCTTCCACCTTCTTTCTAATTCCTAAATTTCTTACAATGTTTTAACCATAAAGATCCTAAATTACCCCCTTGTGATTCATATCATTTGGTATTCAGAGCTCCGGTTTAAGGGTTTAAACATCAAATTGATGGCAGAAGAGGAAAATTACAATCAAGAAGCAGGAATTAGCCCAATTCAAATGAGAGTATTGATACAACATTTGGAAAGATTAATGATACGACGTAACAATGAGCTCCATGAAAGATTGAACCGGTTGGAGAATAGAAATTCTGAAGACGAAGAAGAAAGGAGAATGAATGATGGAGTAACAAGACCAAGTAGGCTTGAAGGAGTCAAGCTTAACATTTTTCCGTTCAAAGGAAAAAGTGATCCAGAAGCATACTTGGAGTGGGAGATGAAAATCGAACATGTTTTCTCATGCAACAATTATGAGGAGGCCCAAAAGGTGAGACTTGCAATAACAGAATTTTCTGACTATGCTCTTGTTTGGTGGAACAAGCTACAAAAGGAGAGAGATAGAAATGAAGAGTCAATGGTTAATACATGGACTGAGATGAAAAGGATCATGAGGAAGCGGTATGTGCTGGCTAGTTATGCAAGGGACTTGAAATTTAAACTCCAAAAACTTACTCAAGGCAACAAAGAGGTTGAGGAGTATTTCAAAGAAATGGACATGCTCATGATTCAAGCAAAGATTGAAGAAGATGAAGAGGTAACTATGACCCGATTTATTGGTGGTTTGAATAGTGATATATGTGATATTGTTGAGTTGCAGGAGTTTGTTGATATGGAGGATTTACTTCATAAAGCAATTCGAGTGGAGCAACAACTTAAAAGAAAAAAAGTGACTAAGAAGAGTTCTACCAACTTTGGATTTTCAAGTTGGAAGGACAAAGACAAAAAAGATGGGACTGTTACTTCTAGTAGTTCCACACCTATTCCTACAAAGACTCATTCAAAATATGAAGAACAACCCTCTAAAAAAATTAGAGATGTGAAGTGTTTCAAGTGTCAAGGCCTAGGACACTATGCTTATGAGTGCCCTAACACAAAGACCATGATTCTTAGAGAGAGAGAATATATAAGTGAATCTGAGGTTGAAGATGGAGAAAAGAGTGAAGACACTGAGGAGGAAGAAGAGATTTCAAAGGGAGATTTATTGATGATTAGGCGATTACTTGATAGTCAATTGAAACCTATGGAAGAAAACCAAAGAAAAAATATTTTTCACACTAGATGTTTAATCAATGACAAGGTGTGCATGATGATCATAGATGGAGGTAGTTGCACTAATGTGGCTAATGCTAGATTAGTATCAAAACTAAATTTAACTACCAAACCACATCCTAGGCCATATAAACTCCAATGGCTTAGTAAGGATGGAGAGGTGCAAGTGAGACAACAAGTTGAAGTGGACATTTCCATTGGAAAATACAATGATAAGGTGCTTTGTGATATTATTCCTATGGAAGTCAGTCATTTACTTTTGGGGAGACCATGACAATTTGATAAAAGGGTTAATCATAACGGGTTCACCAACAAGATTTCTTTCATACACCAAGACAAGAAGATTGTGCTCAAACCTTTGAGTCCACAAGAAGTATGTGAGGATAAAAAGAAAATGAAAGAAAAACTTCTTCAAGAAAAGAGAGAGAAAGAAAGCGTTAGTGAAACACTTGAGAGGAAAAAAAGTGATCAAAAGAAGAGTGAAACACTTGAAGTGAAACAGAGCTATTTAGCCATAAAAAGTGAGTATAATGTTTGTTCTACATTTAATTTGTCAGACTTATCTCTTTTTAATGTAGATGATGAATCCGATTTGAGGACAAATCCTTTTCAAGAGGGAGAGAATGATGTGAACATGACCTATGATAAGGGCTAGAGCAAGGAAAACAAAGGAAGCTCTTCAACAAGTATTGTTGGTTGACCAAATTGTGTTTTGGATTAATCAATTAATGGGCTTTAGTTTGATTTTGTTTTAAGTTGTAATAAGGGCCCAATTGAAAATTTAGTCATCAGCCTTTGGGAGATCAAGGGGTGCATAGCTGATTGACTTTTGGTTGCCACAGTTTCAGATACAATCAATCATTAAGTAGTTTCAATTCCTAGGTTAATGGATCATTATTAGCCTTTATTTGTTTCCATTAAATAATTTTTAATTCATAGATTAATGAGTTATTATTAGTATTTATTTTCTTTTATTGAGTCTTTTGTAATTCTGATGGCAACACTTCTATATCAATTTGAATCATTCTTATCAAGAAATAACAAGTGAAATTTTATTCAGAAATATTAGAGTTTATCTCTTTTATCTTAGTGAGAGTGATTCTCCTAAATTCTTGAGTGATTCAAGAACCCTTGGTCATATCAAAGGACTGTCACATCCTTTGTGTGTTGCCTCCTTAGGAAAAGTGATTTTTTTCTTCCACCTTCTTTCTAATTCCTAAATTTTTTACAATGTTTTAACCCTAAAGATCCTAAATTACTCCCTTGTGATTCATTTCAATACCATACAAATTTTACCACATCATTAACTTGTTAGTTAATAATAATAAATTAATATAATAAAATATAGACAAAAAATGATATAAAAAATTATTAAGTAAATAGATATTTTACAAAAATTAATAATAATTTATTGGGGTTTAAGCTCTATAATAATATAGAATTAGATACTTAAACTGAGTTGTGGTAATAATTAACTCCTTAATTATTTCATATACTACTTGTATTTGAAGTTATAGAAAATGAAAGAGTCACACTTGCTCTTTGGATCTCTCCCTTCGTTATCATGTTCATAGTCAACAGTTAATATATATATATAATATATATGGTCGTATGCGAGGCACGTGACACCTTTTTTTCTTCCAAATATATAATATATATGATTATGGGCCATGGTCACCATTTTCCACCACAACAATTTATTATCCTTCTTAAGGCCCTACTTATAATGTGATTAAGTGACGTCTAAACCAGATCATTAATTATATCTACATGCATAATTATTATTGTTATAACCCAGATCATAGATTATTCCATTTTAAACCCATTTTCACCTACATGCAATTATGCCAACAGCTTATAAACGAAATAGTTTTCACTTTTTTTAACATAGAAAAGTCTCCTTCGTGGCCATGCTATGCTGAGAAAGTGAAATTTATGGATTTAAGAAACTAATTATACTGATTGAATGGAATCATTAGCCTTGATCTTCAAAATTGTGTGGACTTAATTTACACGAAATATTATTTTAACAAAGCCTACTTCTTTAGTTTTTTCTTCTTTTTTTTGGATGTCACAACAAACTATGAAATTCAAGGTTAGACAAAAACATCATGGCCGTAACAGACAACGGTTGTCGCCAACAAAGGAAGAAGGAATGATTAGTAACACCATGCGCATTTTTTAAATGTTTTATGCAATGTAAACTTTAATCAATTGGTGTCACCAGCCAAGAGAAAGAAAATGATTTGCATAGCCCACATTTCGGCAAATAAAATCATCCACTTCCTCTTCTCACTAGTCAAGCATTAGCTGGTTGCAGTATGGAACTTACACAAATTAACCAAGTTCATAAGCTTCTCACAGCATTTGTGTTGTTCTTTCTTGCAAGTTTGGCTTTGTCTTTTCCTTTAGAGCCAGAAGGTAAGTAATATAATTTTTCTTTGCTTTCTTGTTGAGCTTGAAACAATGTTTTGAATGATCTCACTCAACAAGCACTTAATTTCGCTTTGTAGACAAAAATAGGCAATGGCACATGACTTCAGATGTTAAGGAAGTAGCAGGCAAGTCTTATGACTACATAATAGTGGGGGGAGGCACATGTGGTTGTCCGTTAGCTGCTACTCTATCAGAGAAATTCTCTGTGCTACTCATTGAAAGAGGTGGTTCACCGTATGGGAATCCCTTGGTGATAGATAGAAGATACTATGGTATTCCATTACTTAAGACTGATAAATACATGTCAGTGGCACAAAGTTTCATTTCACATGATGGAGTTGACAATGTGAGAGGAAGAGTTCTGGGGGGATCATCAGCCATAAATGGGGGTTTTTACAGTAGAGCAAGTGAGGAATTTATATGCAAAGCTGGGTGGGACAAGAAGCTGGTCAAAGAAGCTTATGAATGGGTGGAATCAAAGGTTGTCTTTCCTCCTTTTTATCTCTCCCCATGGCAATCTGTTGCTGAATTCAGCATACTTGAAGCAGGAGTTTTACCATACAACGGATTCAGTTTGGAACATATCAAGGGAACCAAGATTTCTGGTAGTGTGTTTGATGAATTTGGAAAGAGACACACTTCGGCAGACCTTCTGAATGCAGGGAACCCAAAGAACCTCACAGTTCTTCTAAATGCCACAGTCAAGAGTATCATCTTTCATCACAATAGTAAGTGAAACAATAATTAGTATAAAGCCTTTCTGTAACTAGCGATAACAAGTCGTTTATAGTCTAAATTGAATAAACTTCTTTGTGAGTAAGTAGGAAAAAATATTTCAAATTATAAACAATTTATGCACTTTATTTTCTATAAAATATCTCTTATTTCACTTTCTTACGCATTCTAAATGTTTATAAAAAAGAGTATTTTTAGCCACCAATTCAGTATTCAATTATGAATTTTGACCACTCAAATGCTGTAGGATACAGGAATGAAACCAGAGCTAAGGGTATAAGTTTCATGCAGAGCAATGGCACATTAGATGAAACGCATGAAGCCTACATAAAAGAAGTCCAGAATTCAAGTTCAAGGGGTGATGTCATATTGGCAGCGGGTGCATTGGGTAGTCCCCAACTTCTGCTGCTAAGTGGCATAGGGCCAGATGAACAGCTAAGAAGGTTCAATATATCATCAGTGCGTGACATGCAAGGGGTTGGGAAAGGAATGCAAGACAACCCTTGCATAGCAGTTTTGGTGGATTCTAAGCCGCAGAATAGGCTTCCTGATCCACCTCAAATTGCTGGCATAACAGATGACTTCAAAATCATAGTTGAAGCATCAATACTTCCTCTAAGTTCCAATTCTTCAAGGGTTAATGTTGCTGCCAAGATAGCGATGCCTACTTCAAAAGGGGTACTTGAGCTGAACAACACAGACCCCAGGCTGAACCCTTCTGTGAGGTTCAACTATCTAGCAAGCGAAAATGACATGGAAGAATGTGTCAAGATGACAAAACTGCTTGAAAGAATTGCAAGGTCAAAGTCTATTGCCTTTTTTCTAGGAGAGTCACGGCAAGAAAAAATGACATCTGCTGATGTTGATCTAAGAAACTTCTGCAAGAAGAATGTGAGAACAATCTATCACTATCATGGGGGTTGCACCGTTGGATCAGTTGTTGATGAGCACTACAAGGTTTATGGTATAAAGGGATTGAGAATATTGGATGGCTCAACTTTTTCAGAGTCACCAGGCACAAACCCAATGGCCACCCTTCTCATGCTAGGAAGGTACCAAGGACTCAAGATTCTATGCGAAAGGGATGCAGTTTCTGACTCAAATGTCCAAGACAACCCAAAATGAGTTTTTTTTTTTACCTTCCAAACAACCAGAATGTAAAAAAGAATAAGGCAGCACTTAGGAGCCTAACAGTGTGTACCATGCAAATCACAATTCTGCTTCATTCCTTTAGTGTCATCCAATTCACCGATAAACTTTGAACCAGAAAACAAGAAAACCTTGACAGAATTTTCCTCCTTTTCAGTCCTACAACTGTATAACTTTCTGACTTCAACACGATTAAAATTTCGATTCCCAAAAATTGTGTGGCAATTATCAACATCAATGCAAGCAAGAATCTGATAAAAAACAGAGATATTCGAGTAAAAAAAAATCATATATTTAATACCAGAAAATATAATGTAATAAAATAACAAATTTGTGCATTGGTGGCTGTACATATTTTTTTCAATCCTCCCCAACTTCAAAACCAACAAAACTAGACACCCCCCAAAAATTAAAACATTCTCTAACTCTCTGCACCATCATCTCCATGACTTGATAAAGAATCATCATTTGAAGAATCAGCTTGATCATGATCCTGGTCTCTCCTAATCCTATTGTAAGAGAAACTAACCCAAACTTCATCACCACTACCACCACCCCTTCTCCTCTCTCCCCCTTCTTCCTCACTCTTCTTCCCCGAATTATTCTCATCCACCGGCATCTCATACCTACAAACAGGGCAAGACCCATGCATTCCCAACCACTTCTCAATACAATCATCATGAAACTTATGCTTACATGGCATCTCCTTCGCCACCCCACCAACCCCAAACTCTTCCAAACAAACCACACACTCCAAATCCTCACACCCCTCTCCAATCTCCACACTCGGCATGGCCTCAATGGATTCCTTTGAAGCCGGAGGTCGACCACTTTTTCCGCTATTGAGCTCTCGAAACAGAGCTTCAAGGCGCGAATCAGCGTCGATGACCACCATGCCCTGAGTGAAGGGGTTTACCAAGATGATTCTTTGACGCTGGGATCCTTCAGTGTTCCCGTTTTCGTTATTTGGATCGTCGCTATCTCGTACTTGGGCAGTCTCCGATAGACTAAAGAGAAATGGCAAAAACAGAGCCATGTCTCTGTTTCGCTCGAACCTCTCGAAAACAGAGGTATCCGGCACCTCAGCCCCTGAAGCCATGATTTTGATTCGGAAAACTATTTTATTTGGTGAGCGAGAAAGAGAAGAGGGTATGAAGAATAATTGAGAATTATGGAAAAAATTGAAGAATGGAAGAAGAGAGGAAAGTGGAGTGAATATAAGGGGAAACAGGGGAGGGAGAAGGAGCACCCACTGATATGACACACAGAATGTTGTGGAAGGATCTGGAACATTGTTTTTGGGTGCTGTGCTGTATTATGTGCACCTATGAGGTGACCGGCCATGTTTATCTTCACAACTCAATCACTGTCTCATTCATTGCTATCATTGGGTAGAGTTTTTTTGGTTTAGACAAATCATCAAGTTAATTCCTTCAATGAAAATTTGAATTTATGATATCCTTTCTGTTGTTACAGCCTTTGCTAGATACTTTTAGCTCATCCAATGAGTTTTTCAATATATTTTTAAATAAAATATATATTATTATTTAAAATAAGTAATCAAATTATGTTATAGGAAAGAAAATGGATTTTTAATTATAAGAGACATAACCCAGATTCTTTTAAGTGAATTACATAATTACTTTTGATTATTAATTTATCTTTTATTAAATAATCTTTTCATTTTTAAAATAGAAAATAATTTATTAATTTATACTATTTAATATAAATTAAATATTTTTATAAATAATTATAATTTAGTTATATGTTTGTAATTTATTATTTGTATATTAATTTTAGAATAAATACGTTAAATATTTGTCTTAAGTATATTTAATTTTTTAAATTTTAATATATTAATAATTATTTTATTAAATTTTTAATATGAAAATAATTTAATTTTTTATTATATGAATTATTATATTTAGTTTTATAGATTTATATATTATGTAATAATAATTTAGTATCATATTACTCAAAATTTATTTTATATTTTAATAGTATATATCTACTGTTAGTCATAGTCTTTTATAAAGTTAAATTTTGTAATTAAATTCATAATATCTCTTAATAATAAATATAACATAAAATTAATTATTTTTTAACAATAATAATTAAAATCTTAATAAAATAATGAACATTTATAAAAACTAAATAAAATATTTTAATTATAGTAAAAGATAAATATTTATATTTTTGACGAGTTCAATTTTAATATTAAAATGTGATTATAATAGAGATTTTAACCCTAAAAAGTAAAAAAAAAAATTATAATTGTAGTGTGTTCTTGTTTTTTTTTTTATGTTATGTTTTTTTGTTGTTTTTTATTTTCTATATTGTATTTTTTTATTATTATATTTTTTACTTTTTCATGTATTTTAGAATTATTAATTATAATTATGTGGAATGAAAAATATATTATTATTATTATTATTATTATTACACTTAGGACAGAGTATTTATATTTATAATATATTAATATATTTTGTAAAAAGTCATTCTTTGCTTATAAAATAATAATGTATAATTATAAGAGAACAATTATATGGATAATTTTTTAAACTATTTTATGAATAAATAAGTAATTATCCTTTAATATATATATATATATATATATATATATATAAAAAGTTATTATTCATAATATATTGTAATTAAAAATAAATTATATGTGATTTTTTTTCGTAAAAAGTATTGTATTTTTTTATTAAATGTGTTCCTTGAATTGATTTTAGCAAGTATATATATATATATATATATATATATATATATATATATATATATATATATATATATATATATATATATAAAGAGAGAGAGAGAGAGAGAGAGAGAGAGAGAGAGAGAGAGAGAGAGAATAATATGACAGTGTCTTATTTTATCACAATTATTTATTTATAACAATTATTATAATTAAAACAACATAATATTTTTTATAGTTAAAATTATAAAGTTAATTAATTTGAGGATAAACTAGACAAAAATTGATTAGAAATGAAAATATGAATCAGTTTGTATAAATTAAAATAACTAAAAATTACAAAAGTATAGTTCGTTTAATGATTTCTTAGTCTAATAAAAGCACGGTCAACAAACTTTGTGTTTTCTCTTTGCTGATTTTCACTCATAAAATAAAATTAGAAGATAATTTGGGTAAAATCCTAAGTTGCATATTTCCTAAAAATAGATAGCACTTTTTTTTTACTTTGCTAAGTTTGATATTTCAATTCATTATGTGTATTGCTTAATTTATTAAAATATAAAATTGAAGATAATGAATGTGTTGAGAACTTCACTAAGATGAATTCACTAGCAACTGAAGTATCATTATAATAAGAAAACATGATGGAACAAAACATGTGTTTAATGTTAATAAGTGTCATCATATGGTGATGTTGCATTTGTGGTATATTCAATGCTTCTAATTAGACCACAATAATTAATATTTGTTTGAACAGCTGGGTGGCAAATAATAAAACCAAATGGTGGCTACCAACTACATTCAAAAGTTTGGTTAAGTAAAAAAATCAGACACATTAAAATATTGTTCCCTTGCTGCAACTTGTTATTTCCTAACTATGAAATCTAGCTTTCTCTAGAACTTACTGCAATTAGGTACACTCAATCTATAAAAGAAAAGTAGAATGCAAAGGATCTTTGTGGAAATTGTCAACAATTGTAAAATATATACAACACTATTTTTAAAACCAAGGAGATTTTAGTTAAAACTCTAGAAAACATTGGACACTACTTATGGCTTACTTCCATTTTTTTTAGAAGTTAATTCCTATTTTTAAATAAATAGATTTATTATTTAATTTATTTTACTTTCAATTTAAAAAAGTAAAAAGAAAAACCCTATATGAATTTTATTATAAATATTATTTTATAAAATTATTTGTACCTTAACATAACAGTGATAAACTAACCGTTAAATCCTTAAAAATATATATAAAAGAGTATAATAAAAGTAATAAAACCACTCTACACATAGTCAACAAGTGTAAGATTAAAAAATATTGATCTTTCTATAGCCCAGCCCAGCCCAGCCCACTCCACCCTCTCACTCTAACTCTGAGGAACCCGCTCTCGATAAGCGCCACGTGGAGATATTTGATAGAATCATTGCAACAAGGACTGTTTCTTTGACCAAACCTGGTTAGTTGGTTCTGCTCAGTTAGTGGAATAAATAACTATCAATGAAGGACCATATTGTAAGTAATGAATCTGAGTCGTCCAATAAAACATTTTTAAATCTAATGGCTCACAGTAATGCAACACATGTGACCACATTGTAACTTGAAAACCTTTCATTCACAGATACCCTTCTCAAAGAAAACTGTCCCAAGGGTTGTAACATCTTACTCGGTCGTTAACAGTGAAGCCATTCCAAGACCCATTTGAAATTAGGGAAAATAAAATATTAATTCCAACATAGCTGCTCATCAAATGCTGTTTTGAATTCTACATAGGTCAGTATTTCCTTCAACGTCTAACCAAATTAAACAAAACTGCTGCTTTTATTAACCTTCACATTAGCTGTTTGCTAAAATTCCTGTGAGAAATTCATCCTTGCTTATGTATTTGTGACCCAAGTTTTGGTGTTTTTGTAGCAATATGACTCAAATGAATGCTCCAATGCTACAGTTTAAGAATTCTGCTCTCTTTGGAATCCATCCACAATCGTTTGTTTGCTTTCATGCACAAAGTAGAAGTAAGTAGGCAGAAATTAATTTTTCCCTGTTTTTTGCCCTTGGGATTTTTGTTGTCTGTTTGAAAATGTACTTTCTTAGCAATGCAGTGTGGTAGCATCTATGGAATTTGAATTTATAACGTGGATCCCGAAATATGCTTAACGAATTCATCACATGATAGTATCATTTTTTTGAGCATGATTTTGATATTGATTGCTACGAACTTTGAATGTTGCTACAGGTATAACTAAGAAACCATTAGTGGTTGAAGCCAGACGTAGAGCAAACACTAGAACAGAAAGTGCAAAAATTCGGAACAGAAGGATGCTGAAAAAGGTAAGTCTTATAATTCACCTTTCACCTTTAGTACTGTGATATCTATCACAGATTTGTAGCCAAATCCTTGTATGTCGTGCATGATTAAGGTGTTCTGCAGACACATTTTACATTCGAGATGGAATACATGTTTGCTGTGCCATTTACCTCATTCCATGTAACCGTCAGTAAATCATGTCATCCAATGTTTTCCTTGTTAGTTTCAGATCCTAGTAAATTCTTCCTGTGAATCCTGTGTCTTAGTCCTTTAATATATACGGATACGTACTGTATTATGTTTTACTCACATAATATAACATAACAGGTGACAATTTGTTGCAGCATTGATAAATGAAAGTAACTTACCAAAGTTTTGGAGTTCCTTCAGTTATATTGCACGCCACTACTAACTGCCAAGTACCAAGATTCCCTCATCAGTTACTAATTCCATGCATGATTTTTTTTCTTTCAGTATAATGGAACAGCTACACATCCAAGGCTTTCGGTATTTTGCTCAGATAAGCAACTATATGCAATGCTTGTAGATGACAAAAATAGGAGATGTTTGTTCTATGCAAGCACGCTCCAGAAATCCTTTCAACATGATCCTTCTTGTAGCACTCTTGTAAGTAGTATTAGTAGTCCACCTTTAGTACTGTGATATCTTATCATAAGGTCTTTGCAATGGATTTTTCTTATTCTGTTTTGGCATAACATGATTTTAGGAAGCTGCTCAACGTGTTGGGGAGGCACTTGTCAAAGCTTGTGATGATCTCAACATAAAAGAAATATCATCCTATGATCGCAATGGCCTCCACAGACGTGTGGAAAGGCTAAAAGCCTTTGAGATTGCCATTTCAAGTTATGGATTGTTGCCAGGGTAAGTGTGTAGTACTCTTTTGTGTGAAACACATGAAAACTCCAATGTTGAAGTCCATCTTATTGAGGGTAGGACATCATCACTTTTCTACGATTGGGCAATCGCGCTTGATTGACGATTACTTACTGTAATATATAAACTTTGAATCTAACATTCTTTATTTCATAATAGCGTACATTGATTTGAATCTCAATCTAGAATAGAATACCCTCCCAAGAGAAGTAGTTGCCTGTTCTACATCAATCTACATCAAATATAAGGATTAAAATATATATTCGGAAGTCACTATTTTAAATTTGATAAATAATCAAATTCTTCATAATATTATTGTTTATATAAAATACGAATTAAACGCAGAAGAGAGTATTTCATTAAGTAGAATGAAACCAGGTTATGATAAGTGATCGTTGATTAATCCTCAAGGGTCTTAGAATCCTTGGAACTATAGATATGTTAAATTCTGTAGAAATTAAAAGGATTGTAATTTAGTCTCTGAAAAACAGTGATAAAAAAAAAGGGTTTTATTTTAAAGTTCTAATTAAGCTTTGAGTTGGATATTGAGTTTTTTTTTTTTTTTCAAACAACTTATGGATTCAAACAAGCTTTTTTTTTTTTTCTTTCAATGACGCAATCATGCCTATATCAATGTTCCATGCACACTTGTATCATTTTCCTCTGTTCTTTGTTCTAGGTTTTCAATTCAATCACATCTACCGTCAAATTGTTCCTCCAATGACATGATCATTGACTATTTCAAACTTTTTATGATCAAATTCATGAGAAATGTGATGATTGAAAAAGCACCCGCTCAACAACTGTAAAGCTTCAATTTAATTCTTATGGTTTGAAGTATTGCTTATAAGCACATATCTTTTCTGGTCACAATCTTTAAATTTACAATTTTCTAGACAAGAATGATTAATATATGATTACTCTTTCAAATTAGGGTCATCAACTGAATCGAAGTGTAGATAACTATAGAAAAAAATAATTTAAATGAAAAACATATTATTGGTAATAGATTTTGTAGAAAAAAGAGAGTAGAAAATACATTTAATATTTGAAGGGTAAAATTATTTGTAATTCAGTTTCATAATTTTTTTATTATTTTTTAAAAAAAGAGAGAAGATATTGAATTGTATTGAATAAATTTCAGTGGAATAAGTTGCATTTCATTATATTATAAGATTCTAAACAATGTCATTTTTTCCCATTACATTTGATTTCCTTCATTCCATTCTTTTGCATCTATTAAAACAGAATCAAAAGTGTAGAAATCTGTCTGTTACGCTACCTGTTGATAATATTATTAAAAATTATTTTGACCGGAATAATAAAAAAATTAAGTTAAGAACCTATGAGTTTGGTTTTCATTAATTCATAACACGAGATTGGGGATCAATATTAAATAGTTATTATTAGAGAAAAATACATTATATTATTTTTGTTCATTTAAAAGTAATTTTTAGCTTATTATAATTATTGAAAAAAATAACAACAACTAACATAACATAATACAACAATGATAATAATAATATTTTTATCAACTATTAAAAATATAATTTAATTTTCTAATTTGATTAAGTTTTATTGAAAGGTATAGTTTAAATATATATTAAAATTCTTCACATAGTCAATTAATTTTATATTGAAATCTTAACAAATTATTAACAAATTATTAACAAATTATTACCAAGTTAATACATCTAAACATTTCTTATTATTTTTCATCACTTTATTACATTTATAATATTAAATCTTCCACACTCGTTTAACTTTTATTTGCTGACAACAATTATTTCCCTCATTACTCATTAAAATAAATTCCCTATTTTTTCTACTGAATTTTATAGTTTTCCTACTTATTTATAATTCATGGTATTTGTAAAATACTATTTATATTGTATGTTTAACATTTTTGCTGTAAAACAATTATTACTTCGTGTCGTGTGACATAGTGCACGAGACAAGAAACTAAAGTAGAGAAATAAAATTATGGAATTTGAAATTATTTTTAATTGTAAATATAAAATCATATTAAGTGTTGGGCGATGCGATAATTTACTTGACCCTCGTATGCGACGTGAAACTTACGAACATTAAGTAATAAAAACATGAAGAGTGAAGTCTTTGGTTTCTTCTTATGATGGCGTGTTGTCAATAAAAAATTGATAGGATGGCAGAAAACGTGATAACCGAGGCTCTATACAAATCTCTCATTCTCTACGTACAACAATCATCACCTTAAACGAATTGATGACCACGAATATGCCCTACCATTAACTATTGCTAATAATTTCTAGCTAAGCTAACTATTCTAATCATTATACAAGCTCCCCAGCCACTCAAAATTTTTCCTTTTTTTATTTATTTTCAGCGAGTTGATACCTGGTCAAGTCAGTAATCACTTTCTATCACCACAGCATTTTGCTCCTTTTCCTTCCCCAAGTTTCTGCCACAAACACAGCATCTCCCTTGGGCCCTGGTAATGGGCAACCACATAACCATCCTTACAACCCTCAGGACATACTCTCTCCTCATTCTCATACCGAACTTCTACACCTTCCTTCTTCATGTCTGCGATCCAGATTCCCATTGCAACGTCCTCTAATTTAAACATCTGTCAGACAGAGTTAATTGAATCAATGAAGTGACTCTAAGATGTCAATGAACTTAAGGTCAAAACACAATAATTCAAACAGATTTCAACAATAACAGATTTAATTATATACCTTCAAATGGTTATTTCTAAATTTCTTGGACACCGCCCTTGCTATGTCGTGTGAGACCACATAGCCGGGACCATGTGCCCACGGAGGATAAGTTCCTTCGCTCCATTCCTTTCAAGTAGCAAGCGATAAGATAATAACAAGTTAGTAAAAGGTGAGTAGGTAGACAAAAAAAAAAAGTGACAACAAAGCATACACGAAAGCAATAATTTTAATAACAGAACAGCTATGGTTCAAAAAATAAAACGGGGAGCATAATTAAAATTCCCGGACTTCTAAAACTATTAGCAAGCAGGCAATTCGGTCCAGTTTTTAAGTAAGTGCTTTTTTCAATTGAGTTTCTGATAGCGTAACTAGAACAATCCATGTGTCATAGACGAATAATCAAGTCTCAATGTTAACACGGGAAATTATATGTTATAAGTGAAGTGCAAACTTGCTCACAGAGATCAACATTTTCAATTAATATCTATTTACAAGCAAGCCTTATCTACAAAGTTTCATATCACATAAGCTAATAATAATTATTTCAAAATATCTTTAATAAAATTGTAATCAGAAACTAAAAACATAAACAGAACAAAGAACAACAGAGATTTAATTCTTAAATGACAAAAATATCTCTACCTCTGGGCTAATGTACCATTTGCTATCTGTATTTCGATGAGGTCTGGAATCCGAATTGATGAGTCCATACAGTAACCCACGATCAACATTGATCCTGTGCAAAGAGTCTAGAACTTCATCTACCCGGACAAACGCATCATCATCTGTCTTCATGACAAGCTTTGCCGAAACTTGTGTCTGTTGAAGGGATTATTTGAATGAGAGAGAGTAAGAATCCTCCAAATCCAAGGAAGAGACAAAACATTACCCCAAAAATGCAGATTGCTAAAGTTTTCCAGGTGATGAGGCTGTAGTAGTCAACAAATGGCATCAGCTGCACGTCTCCATAAGTTTGTGCTTCTCTCCATAGTTCTTCATTAACTATTGGGCTTTTGTGCTGCATGAGCTCAAACCGAAGACAAAATTCAGAAAAAATTTACATGTACCAATATATTTACAGAGAATTTCAGAAAGAGGCAAATATCATGCCCATCTTGATCTTTATCAGAATGAAAAGGCTTAGACGGTGAAAAGAAATTGAAAAGAAATGCTCCAACAGAAACAATATTTAAGAAACTTTTGCTACTTGGTAAGATAAGTTTGAAGAGCTCCAATTCAAAAAAAGACTGAGAAATTTAGTTTCGTATAATGAAGTAATTTGTCCCCAATTCTACAAATATTTAGAATCATATGAGAAAATAACAAATACCCACCAAACCAACAAAGAAGCGCACAGCTGCCACATTTGATCGAACAGCATTGTACTGCATCCAGGTTCTTCTAACAGCCATTCGTCGCTTAAAATTGTTAGCAGTTGAGAAAACACCAATGAAGAGATCCAATGGGGTTTGTGCAGCAATAGGACTTGATTTCAATGATTCTAGGTCAATAATATGCTCTGAATCCTCGGATGTGGGCAGACCACTAGCAAGAATAGATATTAATTTGAGGTCCCCTGAAATTTTTATTTCACTGACAAGCCATGGCTCCAAAGTCTGACATGTAACCAACTGAATCAGTCAACATACTAAACATAAAATCATTCAATATTATTTGTTAAAGAATAACAAGAGAGAGAGAAAGTACTTCACGAAAAGCAAATGAAGTTATGTGCTTTCCATCCACTGTCATCTGGATTCCCTCGGATCCCACTCTTAGAGTTGCAACAAATGGGTAACCTTGCTTAAAAGGAAAGTATTTCTTATTTGTAGATTGATCTTCAGTAGTTAAAGATTGTCTTGAAGTGTGGGAATGCATGCTAGCAGTGTGAAGTTGGGTAATGTTCTTTCCTACAATCTTATTACACTGCTCCAATTCATCAACTGGCAAAAGAAACAGCAATATTAAACAAAGTAACAATGCAAAAGCAGTTTATGGAATTATGCTCAACACCTGCATCAGGAAAAACCACACACACACACACACACAATATATATATATATATATATATATATATATATATATATATATATATATATATATATTTAACACAACAATGTAATAAAGCACAAGAAAAAGAGAAGATATAAAACATCTTTTCACAAAGAATTGACTATCATGTGGATAGGATTCAATGCTGTTGCATCTCTTTCCAAATCAATAGCATATGAACACTTGGCAAAAAAATTATGAATTGCTTTGATTCAAGAATTCCATATTGCCAATTCTGTTGTAGAACAAACGCACTTGAGTAATTATAGGGTTCATGTTTTAAGAAATCTGATTTCAGAATTGTGAGAGGAATTTCCATTTCAATTAAGAACACAAATTACTATGGATGTTGAATCAAAAAATGAGAGTAGTATTTTCACCTTTCACAACCTTTTCAGGAGTAGGGGATGGACAACGATCCTCTTCACCCCAATCACGAGCTACAGTCCAGGTGTTTTGGACAATTACTGGGTCTTCAGTGATTTTATCCCCATGCAGGCGAACATTATAGTGCAAAATAATTGGAGGGTCGGGTTCCCCGGGAAGTGGTTCTCCAGTCAAGTCAATCCGAAAATTACCTAAAAGACCATTTGGAATGCCAATTACAGTGATGGAGGAACCTTGTGTCAGGCCACAAGGTACTTGCATTTTGTAACTACTATTACTAAGTTCAGTGGAATTCATTTTATTAAGAAAGTGGGGACATTGCTTCTCTTTACTTCTGGAACTATCATTTGCACGACCTTGTTTTTGCTCTTCAATTGAGGAAATAAGACAATTCCATGCACTGGCAGCCTCCTTTATAGCTTCTGCTGCACTGGGTAAACCCTGAGTGTGATCAATTAAGTGGTTCAATTGGTTCCATGTCTGCAAAGCTTGTTGCTCTTCTTGGGAAAAGTTGTTCCCAGCAAAGAGGCTAGATACTAAAATATCAGAAGAAATAACTTGAGAATGATCATCTGGATTTTGCATAGCAGGTGGTACAGTGAGATTTATCCATGCTAGAGGATTAGTACTATTAACGAGGACAGGAATAGTCAAATAACCTTGAGCAATTGGATTTTTCATGATCCCATTTCTCAGGATCATAAGCATAAACAACATAAACAGTGAAGCAACCAGAACTCCTCCATACAACTTTTTCATTTTGATGATACTATGAACGAACCAATAGTCCTGAATTTTCACAGTACTAGATCAAAAAGATGCCAAACCAGTAATAAGTTGGTCATCATTATCTTTCATAAAACTCCTTGCCGTAATTATGGAGAACACAGACGTGGAAGAAAATAAGGGATGCCGATAGTATAAGTTTTTCTTATCAGATTTGAAGAAATAACTGCAGGAGAACTTCAAAATACCAATACTAAATACGAGCCCTTGGAAGCATGTGTTGAAGCAGAAACATCCGCCGTAGAATTACTTGGAAAGCATACTAGATTTGGTTAGCATGCCAGACCTGTAATCAGAGCAAAAAAATATTTTCTTTTAAATACTGTACTTTAGGTGTATAAAACAACTCAACACACAACGTTCTCGCTTGAAGAAAATCAACACCTATTTGCTAAGAAACTAGCACTTGCAATAGAAGAAGGCAAACACCACAGACTAGTATTGTAACAGTTTTTAAAAAAAAATTAAAACGTAAAATTTCTAGAGAGAGAAATACCTACTATGAAGTACATATAATAAGTCATATCAAGTCCATTAACAATAAGTGGATTCAAACATCATCTAAGAACCAATGAAATTTTATACCCACATGAAACAATATGGATCATGCTCACAGTTTTCTTTGCAAAACAAACTTCAGATTTATCACAGCTTCAGGTGTTCCTCGGCTAATATCACCTTTGGAAAATATTTTTCATGTACCCTATTAGCATTTTATTTAAGAAAAATGCCTCCGACGCAAATAAAGTATCGTGGCAATTAAGTGTTCAACGGACAATGCTCCCACTAGGCAAACATTCAAACAAAGTAACAACCACCGTTAGGTCAACATAACACCACGATACTGGGTACTACAAAAAAGTTAACCCACTAGCATCATAATTGAAACCATAAATTATAATTAGAATGAAACAAGAAAAAAAAAAAAAAACACACACACACCAAGGACCACACTAAATTCCTAATAGTATGATCACGGAAAAGAAGAAATTTAATTGGACGAAAATAACGCATTAATTGTAATTAAATAACCAAAAACCTCATGCTCCTTCAACAAACTATTATAAATTTCAACTCAGATCATACTCCATCCACCTTTTGGCTTTATATTAATTAAAAAAAAACTCCTTAAATAATAAATCATGAAAAATCAAAAGCGTTAGAGTTTGAACTTGAACCTCAGTCGGTGCTCTCCAAATTAAAGGCCGACAAAGTTAAAGTATGCATCATAAGCAAAATTGCAAAAACAAAGGAAATCAGCACTAAACGAAGTTCCAAACAATTATTATCACTGAACTAAAAAATCGAACAAAAAAGCAGTGTCAATCAATTTCGGAACGAAGTTTACAGCGTGGAATCAAAGTGCAGCGGGAGCAAAGACGGCATCAGACAGATCGACCGGCGGCAACACAGAATCTCGAACAAAAGAAAGCAAAAACAGAAGCAACCAACGCGAGAAGAGCGTGGAGCGACAGAAAATCGAAGAGCGTGGCAATGTTGAACAGCGACGAGCAACAGCGGAGCGAGTGAGCCTGGGGTTTACCAGGCGAGATTATATCTGGAAAATGTAGAGTGAGAAAGAGAGAGAAGAGATAGAGGGTTTTGTTTAAGTGTGTTTGCGTTGTGCGTCTGTTTCAAAAGCGAAGTTTCGCTGTTCGTTGTGTCGTCTCTGCCTTTGCTCAGCTGCCTGTTGAGGTTCCTTCTTCAACTTAATTACTATAAATAAAGATTCAAAGAGACAGAAAAAAAAAAAAAAAGGTTGGCAGAGAAAATAAAAAGCAATTTAAAAAAGAGAAAGAGAAAGAGAAAGTAAAAACACTGACTGGGACATTTTGCTTCAGGAGCGGCAGAAATGGACCATGCCCAAAGGGTAAATGTGTACATAAGTGTACGTACGTGTATCTAGACGTTAACAATAATGTATCATTGATATTTTTTCTTCTTCAATAAACTCTTACATATTTCATAATAAGAATTTAATAATTTTTCTCAATCAAAAAATTATTGATATATATAATAATAAAATTAAAAAATATATTAACTAAAATAATAATTTAAATTAATATTTTTAATAACTTTTGAGTTAAAATAATGTTTGTATGATATTAATAAATATTAAATTTTAATTTTAATAAGAATCTTAATGAGATGCTAAAATTAATAAAATAGTTTTTTTACTATAAATTTAAAATTACTGAATTTATTATTACTAGTAGTAGAAATATAAATGTTCTTATTTTTTTATATCAGTTTTATAATGATTAAAATTAGTTAGTATGATTAAATATTCATTATTAATTTATTACTAAAAATATTAAGAATAAAATCATTAAAAAATTATGTAAAAAAATAGTTGCAAAAATATCAGAAAAATAACTATAAAATATTAAGAGTGTGTAAAAAAATATCACCCTCTTCTATATTAATAAAAAAATAACATTTTATTGTTTGATTACATGTTTCAAACAATTTTTTATTGATCAATTTTATGAAAGATAAATTGCTTAATTTTTTTATAATTATTTTTATAATTATTTTTATTAAATAATTTAAAAAAAATAAAGAGAATTAATTTTTTAAAATTTATTTAAAAAAATATATTTAAACAAAACATATAAATAAATTACTTACAAATAATATTACAGAATAAATCTATTTTAGATATTTTAAGATAATAAATAATTCATGCCAAATGACTTATTTAATTTATCATGAATGAATTTACAAATTTACCATTAATAGAAAACATATTATTAAAAAAATTATTACATATTAAATTATATTTACAAATAATAATAAAAAAACGTTGATTTTTAATAGCTAGAATTTAACTATACTACAAATAAAAATTTGTTATTATATTAAAATAATTAATTAATAACAATACAATTGTTAATTAAAATAATAGTTGAAATTTAACATTATTAATTAAAAATAATTTTAATAGAAAATATAATAAATTTTAAATTTAAATTTAAATTCTGGCTATTAGTTTAATAATTAAAATTTTAAAACAATGTCAAATTTAATAATTTTTTACTATAAAATTAAAATTACTTTTATTATTTTTAATTGAAAACTTATAATTGACTATTATTATCAGTTTAAAGTTATTACTTTAATATAAAATTATAAATTTAGTTTTGATAGTAAAAATATTCTTACAAAGTTTTATTATATATTATATTACATCTACAAATAACAAAAAATATATTAAATATTGAATTTATTGTTATTATTTATTTAAATTATTCTTATTAGAAGATATATAAATTTATTACAAACACAATTATTATTTTAAATACAACATCGATCTCTTATAATAAAAATATTATAAAATTGTTTTTTATACTTTTTTTAATAAATTTAATATATTGTATTATATAATTAGTTATTAATTGTAATTTAAATTAATATTAATAAACAAAACTTAATTTTTTATTGTTTATACTAACGCTATAATTAAAATTGGCAATAACAATAATAAGATTAATTTTCATGTATGATTTTAATTGATAGCAGTATTTTTATTAATTCATTGATTGAATAAAATAATTAATTTTTTTCATTCAATAAATTGATAAAAAAATTAAATATTTATATTCATCAAACTAGTTTAATAATATCTTAAAGTAAAAGTATGAATTTAGAAAATTTGTATTTAAAATTTTTGAAAACATATTTAAATTTTTTTAATCTGTTTTTGACATAAGAACCAAATACCATTTTGGACCATGCTCATATTAAAACTCCGGATCCCAAAAATAGACTGTAAACGTTAATAGTAAATTGCTTGGTTCATATAAATAAAAGGTAAAGTATATATGGTTTTTATAACTTCTTGCATTTGTAGATTTTTTTCTGTCAAGATAATTCTAAAATTTTCGTCCATCGATATACAGTTATATATATATATATATATATATATATATATATATATATATATATATAATCTGTAAGAAATATATTTTTATTAATAATACACAGTTCATATTATGGTGTGAATTACTTTTTATTTTATCTTTTAATATATTTTTCTTGTCTTATAATCATAAAAACACTATCACATTCATACAATAATTATTAGAAAATTTATTTAGAACGAATACTATATTTTATATTCAAAAGTTAATTTTCTATCTCTTCTTGGTAACATTGTAATATTTATTTATTTTTATTTATCTGTAGTATTTATTTTTAGTCATATCTTCTTTTATTACATTGTATTATTTATTTTTATTTTATTTATTTATTTATAATTTTCTTTCATTTCCTTCTCTCTTCTTGGTATTATAATTTTATTATTTGTGCGCTTTAGATTTACATTAAAAATTTATTTACATTTTTTTCTTATCATAGTAACATAACTGTTATAATAAAGATAATATTTTAACAAAAAAAATCACATGTTAGACCCTGTATTTTTCAAATAGCTTTTTCAAAATCAGAATCGTACAATCTACTAGAACATGAAATTTGAATTCCATGATTTGAATTTTAAAATTGGGAGACTTATTTTGTTGTATTTAATTGACTAAGTAATTAGATAACATATTGACCCAAATACACTCTGACACTTATTTTACAAGTTTAATTAATATGATAATATAAATTCTTATTGTATTTATTAATAATTTATTAAGAAAGCATTCACAGAAATAGTAAAGTAAATTTACAATGAGAAAAACAACACTTATTGTCAAGTTGCGTGCTCTGAGTCACACGCAAACTAGTACTTTATTTTATGTTTGACACACCAGTTACGTGTTTCTTAATTTTTTAAAATTTATATATATTTT